AGGAACATACAGGTCCAGATCATAAGAAACAGGCCCAACTTTTTCATTTATAAAAGTTTTTTCAAAGTTTCAAAGTTTTTTTGAAGTGCTTTTCATTAATAGATTTCAAGGCTTTTCATAATGTAAGTAAATCTCACTTTTGTTAAATTATAGATGAGGAAAATAAAACACTGGCAGGGGAAATTAGCCACACAATGTCTCCAAGTAGACCAGTACCCAAGTCTGCAATGCAACATGGCATTTCCAAATCCAGCACTAGCTCACCAAGCCAAAATAAATCCTCTTCAACAAAAGAATCGAAAAATACTTCACGAAACCTCATTTTACCCCTTCTGCCACAAGCAATTATGTTTGGATAAAATGGCATGAAGTGGTCTGCATGTCAGACCAAAAATTAGGAAAATAATTAGAATGCAAACCTTCTGTAACAGCACGTGAAAGTAATGCCCAAAGAATACAACTAGCAACTGATGACCGTAGCTTTGATGCAGAAAGTTCACTTCTGAAAAGAAGTCTTATTTCTCTCCAAAGAGATTCTTCCCATGCCTACATCGTTCACTGTCTACACCCTTTTCCTTTGAGTACATACTCATCGGTGAACTGCCCTTGCAGATCTCCCGTGTGGGGATCCAACAGGCCAGGGCAGATCTCCTTTTTCTCCAACAGAAAGAAGTGCTCTCTGTTGAGCTCGAGAGTGTGACCGGTTTTAATTACTTTTCTTTGTGCATATTCTCCCTTTCCTTACCAGTTGTCAGGTGTGATATTTCAACTTGGGATACATTTAACTTGGGACTGTGATTCATTACGGATTTCAGTTCAAGAATATTCTGTTAACATCACAAGTTATTCACAAAAAGTATTTTGAGCCAATGTAATTCTTACAGTTTGTTTTCGTAAGCAAACCCAGCTGTTATCACAGCAGGTAGGTTGATAAGTCTGTGTTCATTCTGTTTTTCCCATAATGCAGGTTCTTGCCAAGAACCAGTGCCACAAAACAGGGAAATATACACAAATACTTAATCTCTGTAATTTTACCTTTGTGTATGGGTGTTGTCTTTGCCACAACATTTTCAACTTAATGTGTATATGTATTTTTACTTATATAAAAAAATTAAAGTTTTTACATAAAAAAAATAATCACTGAACATCATAAAAATAATTGAAGGATCAAATCTTTAACCTCATCTAATTACTTTTCATACTACTGCTACGGCCTATATGGGATTTGACAACGGCATAACAGCAGCATCCAGTCTTTGCTCAAGAAGATAATGAGATGGCTAAACCAGGGACAGTGAAGAAAGGGCCACAGCGAGGGAGTATTTCACAGGAAAAGGAGAGAGAGAAACCAGAGTTCTGTGAACCCGATCACCATATCAACACTTTCAGAAATAACATGCAAAAGTTATGGTAATGATTCCAGTAATTGGTTCACTCTCATACTTAAGGCAAGTCCATTTTTTGGCATTATTCTTAAAATCCTAGATTCTGTTCTTGAAACATAGAGTCATAGAATCATTAAGGTTGGAAGAGACCTCCAAGATCATCGAGTCCAACCGTCAACCCAACACCCCCACGCCCACTAAACCATGTCCCTAAGCGCCTCATCTACCCGTCTTTTAAATACCTCCAGGGATGGGGACTCAACCACTGCCCTGGGCAGCCTGTTCCAATGTTTAACCACTCTTTCAGTAAAGGAAGTTTTCCTCTTGTCCAATCTAAACCTCCCCGGGCACAACTTGAGGCCATTGCATCATCAAAGTTCTCACTTTCTAATTTCTTAAAAGAAATTACAACAAAGAATTCCCAAACCTTGAACAATGTTATCTTAAAAATCTGTGATATAAATCATGCAATTTATTTTTAGAACCAAATTATTATTTTTAAAAGAATAGCGGTATGTGAACAGTACAATTTTCAGCAAAAGACTTTTATTGCCTACGCTGTGATTTGAAACCTGTCTTACCTAAGTACTTTTGACATGTTACATCAGTTTAGCTTGAGATATAGTGGTAAATCAATTCGGCTATTATGGTACCCATTTGTATGTGGGCATTTTATACTGGCACACATCTGGTTTCCAGCAGTTTGGTACAAGTTAAATTATTTTTAAGCAAAGTTAAATAGTATACACAAAACTGCTGTAGGTTTGGGAAATCTGTTCAACATCACCCCTATTAAACTAGTGCAGAAAAACATACTTTGTGTTAAGCCACTACTGTAAAAATGCTATTTTAATGATTCACCTATGTTAGCTCTGTAGCAGTTCAATCGCTCTTTCCAAAATGAATTATTAAAATGAAAACTTTACACAAATATTATACAAGGTATGGGAGGTTTTACTTTTAGGTAGAACCAGTGCTTAAAAAAAAAAAGTATAGTTTGGGATGCTACCATATCCACCTTATATTGAAACTTTTATCATTTACAACAGATGAAAAGCTATGTATTTTTAAACACAGTGCTTCATATTGTAGAGACTGGGAATGAAACAAAACCACTTGGGTTTTTTGGATAGTTCTTAATATCTGGAAGTCTAAGTAGTATATATGATACATAGAGCTTTCATAACCGGTATTTTTAATGTGCATCTGTAAATATATTTAAATGGCATGGTATTAATGTGTACTACTTTTATGGAATGATTTATTTTACCAAAGTAACAAATACGGTGTTGAAAGACAAAATAGATATCACACAGTTTCATGACCCTCTCTGAGCATAAGATGCAATTAAGGTCTTAGGAGTGACCTTCCCTTTGTGTCAAGTTGCGCTAAAATGTATGTGACAGTTTTTCTTTTGGAAACCTCCATCAGTGATTAAGGAGAGGCTGTCAAAATTATTTATTTAGGTTCACGGGCAGAATTCACAATTCAGACGAGGTGCTAAAAAGCACAAGCAATATCTAGTTTATCCATTAGGTTACTTGGTCCCACACAATTATTTCACTTTCCTGATAAGCATCTTTTGACTACAAAAACTTCAGCCGATGTTCCCGTTATCACTATGAGCTTTAAAGGGCCAGCGTTCATCTTTTTCTGAGAAAAATAGTGTTATGGTTTTTAAAGTAAGTTGACTGGTATAATCGCATTTTGCTTTCAATATGATTACTACGAAAATCCCCAGAGACAAGCCCAGAAAAGAGGTATCTTTGTAAGTTTTCACCTAAGATACCATATTTCAGTGTTTTTCACTTGACCCGATGCAATCTAACCAAACATCACCCTTTCCATTAAAGTTCTATTTTCAGGGTTTATAACTTGCCTACCTAAAATCATTCGTAAGGTGAAGTGGCTTAAGAAATGTCATCTTTAAAGGTTTTTATTTTATTGCATTAAAAATCCTCTGAAGCCTGAACTACAGAACTGCTAAAACAAATAAAAAGAAAAATTTAGGAGAAATGCGTTTCAAAATGTTACAAACTTTACATGCTTTTGTGGTTTTTTTTTTCCCAATCGCATTCACTTACCTCTAAAACGTAGCCCATAGACGCAGACTGTAATTACATTAACACATTTTAGAATATTACTATTTATCTCAAGGCAGGTGCCTCAGGGAAATAGTCTTAGTGTAAATGCAAACTCAATAATACTAAAATAAAAACACCTCATACTTTAGCTACCGTATGTATTATATTAAGATAGGAGAAGCGTAGGCACTAAAAAGACACTTAAATCTCTTAACATCCTTCCAACTCCCTGTCCATTTCAACGTCATTTCAAAAAAAATATTAGGCAAACATTTAGAAAGCCATGATTTTAGAGAGAAGAGCTTTTTTATAACGGCGAGTCTCGTAATTTTGTTGGCAGCCCTACGCGGGGCTCCGACTCCCTATCCCAGCGGCTAAG